ACAGCAATATCTGGGTTTACATGATGCTTTTCCATTCCTCTTTTTCTCCCTTTGCTTCTAAGGCTACATATTCCTTGGACTGGAAACCCATTGGTGTTTTCTGCCCAAGCCCTTGGTCTAACCGAGGATGCACCCCAAAATGGAGCATGTTCAGACACTCACCTCATGCACAGTCTCAGTGTATCCCAGCCATGGTATCACGGGTAACTTGCTTAGCAACAGTGTCTAAATGGGAATTTGTAAAAACTTAAACTAATGGCAGACTTAATAGCCTCTGCCTGAGCCTCTTGAAGCTCTCCTTTTAACTGGAAAACAATTAAGTTGTCTCTGAATTCCCAGCACACTACAGTTACAAGAGAGACCTTTCTGGAACTGATGAAGTGATGCCCAAAGTCTTCATAAATGTAAACAATACCAAATACTCTTTGGAAAGCTTTTCAGCATCCTTCCAAATTTAGGATTATAATCTGTTTGTGCATGTGTGTGTATATGTATAAATGAAAACAAATTTTCAAAAGACATATATTATTGTAAAGAATGTAATTATGAACATTTAAATGGTACTTAGGACAAAGGGAAGGAGCAGAATCTCCTCAAATGATTTGATTTTCAGAGTTTATCCACAGCTCCCATCAGTGATCACTGGAGTGATTAGCTACTCCTCAAAAAATTTTGCATTTTGTTAGACTTTTATACTTCTTGAATTTGTGAGATCCTTTTTGACATTTATTTCTGAAATGAATGATAGAAATGTTACTTTGCATGCGATTTTATTACTTAATTTTTTAATTTAATTTTTATTAGAGAAGTTTTTGTTCTTCTGTAGAAACCTATGGGGGATTCTGTTTGTTAGGTTCTGTAAATAAGACTGACATGCTACTAATCTTATAGTAGTTTGATGTCAATATAATGGTGTGTGGTTTTATCTACAGCCAATTAGCACTGTAAAAACAGTCTTGATAAAGTAAGAAAAATAGACTATAAAATGCTAGTTGCATTAAAATAATTCAAAGGTAAAACCATGATGATTTTGTTCAGAATGAATTGTGAGAGCAGAAAATAGGTCTGGCTGGGATGGAGTTAATTTTCTTCATGGTAGCTGTATGGCCTATATTTTAGGTTTGTGACAAAAGCAGAGGTGGTAATAAGGGTTGTTTTAGCTGTTGGTGAGCAGCACTTGCACAGCATCAAGGTCTTTTGCTTCTCATGCTGCTCCTGCCAGAGAGTGCCTTGGGGTGCACAAGAAGTTGTAAAGGGACCCAGCCAGGACAGCTGACCCCAGGGAGAAATTAAGAACTGCCAAAAATCAAGCTAGCAAATCAATGTGGAACAAAGACGAGGAAAGAAGCAGTAAAGCCTTTGTAGCAATGGGAAAAGAGGTTGAAGATAATTTATGTACTGGTTGTAGCCTTAATAAAATGTTTCCAGTAGGAGAGTAATATTGGTTATTAGCTAAAGTAGGATGGTTAATGGAAAAACAGTATGGCAACTGTATCCAGCACAGATCTAAACCATGTTCAAAGGTCTAGAGAACTATAATATAAAATTATAGATGTTATAACAAGATTTTTTATAAAAATAATTAATTTTCCTGTTTACAAAAAGGAGAAAGCACGGTCTAGCCAAACGAAGGTTTTTAAAGTGTGTAAAGCTTTACAGAACTTTACAGTAAAGTGAGATAAAAGTCTCCATCAGTTTATGAAATGGCACCTTCTTTAATGGTGGCTGGTTTGCTAAGTGCTGCAGATGTCACTTTTTCTGACCTTAACAAAGTTTCTAATTTGGTAACTGTATGATAAATTATTAGTTAATCTGGAGAAAAAGGTTGTTATGGCAAGAACTTCATTATGGGTAAAAAATTAGAGACAGCATTAGCTTGTGTTGAAAGGGAAATTAGTGGAGTAGGGAGATCATTAATATCATTAATGATATTCTTCCAGGAACAGCCTTAGGACTTATCTATAAAAAACCCCCAAACTATCAATAATTATCAGCACAAAAGTCAATGCCATTCTCTAGTTTCTTGTATAATAAATACATTGTGAGATATCTTCTTAATCTGCTCAAGGATTGGGAAGGATTTAATTTGTTCTTTATTTAATTGGTGACCCTTAATATTTTTTCTCAAAATTCAGGAAATTTGAGAGCAAAACCAAGAAAACTCAGGGTGGCTTAACTGGGGAGCAATCAGTCCTTCTTTAGAGCCTCCCAGATCACTGGCATAAGACTCAGTGATTTAATTTAAAATAGAAATATTTCTTCATATATTTTGAAACGTATAACAATGTAATTTCGTGTGTCAATATTAATAATTTACTGTTCTACGTGGACTTACAATGCCAATCTTTAAAACCTGATTGAGATTAATACACTTGAGATGGTGTCATGCTTTAATGTTTGAACATTTTGTACCCGGTGGATTGGACAGCTGATAACAGACATAAAGAAAGTGTTGGATGATCCATTCAAACGAATGCACAGTAGCACTGTAAGGACACAGTCCTTTTCCCTTTTCAGTTCAAGATCATTGAGAACATGGGAGAATAACTGTTTTCCACCTAAAAACATTGAAGTGAATGAGTAGTTTGATTCTTTCCCATTTACATTCACCATGTGTTCAGGTCAGCTTGACTTTTTTTCAGTCTTTAAGCAGATGTTGCAAAGTAAATATTATGCAAGTTTTCATGCAAGTTTAAATTCTATTCTGATGTGGGAAAGGGGAGTTATGTGTTACAAAATAACAAATATCAAAATTATTTGTTTTAATTACTTCTATTTCTATAATTGTCGGAGTGTTACAGATATATTCAGAGTCCCCACATACAAAGTGGATGGAGACAGTACATGGTAAGTATATTAATGAACTGATGAAAAAGAGAAGACATAATTAACAATATCCAGGGAGAAGGCAGAGATATCTTCAGGTGCCAGGCTAGCTAAACATATGCTGAATTGACTAATTGCATGTTGATAGATATTCACATGTTATTGTTAATGAAGAATAAAGGTATGCTGAGAAATGCATCTTCTCTGTCTCTTCCCCTCAAAAAAGGAAAATGAAAAAAAGTAACTGTGACTGGAAGAAGAACCTGTGGAGGAGGCTGAAGTGATGAATGGTGTGAAGATGGATGTCAAAGAGAGTGGGAATACAGGACTGTCCCTGGGAGCACAGGTGGAAATCGAAGGAAACTGTACCAGCAGCACTAAAACATATTGCCAGGAGCAGTACATGTAACATCTGCATATAATGAGATTTAATTTTGTGTGCAAATTATTCACAAAACCCCTGCTTTCTATTTCACCTCTAATTACAGTTCCTAGAGATGCTCTTTCAAAAACAAAGAATAACAAGTGAAGAGGATGCTTCTGCCAGGTGCCTTTTTGTAATGATAGGGATTCAGATCATTAACTTTTGCATTGGATTTTGTTTTCTCATATACAGAGTTTCTCAATCCATTCCACCAGTTTTACAATAACAAGAAGTTCCAGCCTTTATGGTATAAATGTATCTGAGGTCTGTTAGGAAAAGAATGCACAGGATATTAAACCATGGAAAAGTCCTCATGTCTTCACTTTCATGCCAGCTGAGCTGAGGAAAATAAAAAATGATGTGCATTTAGTGTGGAGGAGGCAGAGTTCTCCTTCCTGCAGGTGTTCAGCTGGCATTATGTACCCTTAGGAGAAAATGATGACCTGTGAGGGAGAGCTTTTGATGAAGAAAACATTGAATTTGCAATACTCTATTCTTCAAAGTTGAACTGTGGCTTTGTACAACAGTACTGTACAGGAAATAGCGCTGATTCACATTACCACTAGAAAAGCACTCAGAAAAAAAACAGGCTCTAAGTGCCTTTTGGGTGTACCTGGGGATGGCAGCAGCATTGTGCACACTCCCCACACAAACCATGGCCTTGTCCCCTTCTCCACTGATTTGCTCCTGGGAGAAGACTTCTTCTACAAAATGCCTTTGTGAAGGAGTATAAAGAAGTCTATTTCTTGTTCTCTCTTCAGCTGTTTGAGCACGGATACCTTGAAACCTTGGCTAAAACACATGTGGAAAGATGCTGTTTGCTTTTGCTCTCCTGTATCAAAGTTAACCAATTTACTGACAATAAGGAGGGAAATTAAACACAATCTGTTAAAAGGAAAGGATGCATAACCTGTCCAGTCCCACAGTGCTGGCTGATAATGCTTATTAAAACAGACTTATGTACCTTAAAAAAACCCAAAAGTGTGAGCCTGTGTGGTGTATAAGCACTGTTTGAACGCAGGCTGTGTTTGCAAGCACAATAAAAGATTTTCATCATCAGGATGATGACACTTTATTTTCGATTATGTATCTTTCTGCTTAGCTGAATTCCTGCTGAATTTTGTTTTAATACAGAAATGAGCTATAATCGATAACTTGTCAAATTATTCATTCCTAATGGACTAGGAAAATCCTAGCCAAAGGATTTTGACATTACTCTCTGCATAAATTATCTGAAATACATATTTCTATTATTTGTCCCGCTCTCTAGATTATTAAATAATGTTCAGTGAATAATTTATTCAACATTTTTTCTGTCAATCTCTGAATAATTTACTTATGAATACATTATTTTTATTATTCAGCCAACTATATTTCCAGCATCTGTGGCAATACCTTTGTTGTGTGAAAGCTTGGAGATCTCTGGAAAGAGAGATAAACTTTTAACTAACATAACTTAAATTCTTTGTCATAAGCATTTAGTACCTTATTTTATATATCCAAGTGCATCATTAAATAAATCCATTTTCCTCTCTCTCTCTTAATTTAGAGTAGTTTTCTACTCAACAGTCTTTAACTCAATGATCCCTACTCTTTTTATTGAAAACTTTGCACTCTTGCTATCTTGCCTCCCATTGTTTTTTGAAGTCTTCAACAAAATTCAGAAAACTTTAGTTACTTTACTTTATGTGCTGAGGATAATGATGAGAAAAAGATTTACACTGCTTGCCTGTTTCTGTTAACCCAGGCATTTTGAACATAATATCTACATGAATACATACTGAATAAACACAGGTCTGTGACATGCAAACACAAGCGAGAAGGAACGAGTTGTGAAAAAAAGCATTCCTGACAGAGTAAGAGAAGCAACAGAAGTGCAAGGAAAGATTGAAGAAGCCAACAAAAGGTATGTTGTGGAATATCTGTATCTATTTACCAGATAGAAAAATGTTCCAAGCATCTACACTAGAGCAATGATGAAGTGAATTGGCTTGAAGATTAACAATCCTACCTGCTCCTGCAGCATCCATTTTGCAGTTCCCATCCTGGGAGTGAGAACACGAGGTGGACTCACAGAGCTCATGACTGCAGCACAGTGACACCTATTCATCCTGAGTCTGAGTGGGAAGCTAAGAGTTGCTTTGGTTACTCTGCAGCTCAAACAGTATTTTATTATTTCACTACCTAGCCATTTGGGCAGGAAAGTAATTTTGGCTATGTGATGCATGGCTCTCAAGAGTGTGTAGAATGGATAGCTACAGCTAGTAAAGGCAAACAGGGGGGGAAGGGTAGTATCTGAAACCATCCAAATGCTGTTTCAGTTCCAGTTTAGCAATTATTTTGAAAATAATCTGGTTCAGAGACTAGAGCCAGCACAGATTGTGGTGCCCTGGACATGAATGAGAAGAGCAATATATCTTCATTTCTAGCAGAAAGTACTATTAAGTTTGAAACTATATCCTCTGGTGCATAAAGAGACATAGCATGAATTTAAGTCTGTCCTAATTCCACCTTATTCCCACGTTTAGAAGGCAGGTCTCAGATTTAACTTGCAAACTGCCAAAGACCAGAACTTTGGCTGACTGCCAAAGGTAATTAGAATTATCTCACCTAATTTGTACTTTCACTTCTGACAGCAAACATCCTTGATTTTCAGGCATGCTCAGAAGCAGTCTGGTTCAAATATGTGTGTACCTAAAACCAGAATTTTAATGGCATTTGAGGGCTTTCAGGGTCACATTTGCAGCTCTGAACAGTACACTGCTCTAGTAACACCACCGTGTTACTAGAATGATAATATTGCCTTCATGTCTCTTGTAGACAAAAAAACTAAGGACTGACCTGACAAGTTTGATTCAAAACTGGATTTTAGGAGCTAAAGTAGGTCCACGACTGAAGGTGACTGGAGCAAAACTTGGAGCTGCTGTTGTGCATTTGAAACCTGATGTCAGATCTGTATTTTCTTTTAACATGGAAGGGAGGTGCTGTCACCATTGCTTGGCTTAGCTGGAGGGATATGTTCAAGTAAAGGCCTGGGGACTCAGGCTTGTATTAACAAGTTTGAACCTTTCTACTTTCTGTTAAGGTGTATATGATGCTCTATCCAGAAAAAGAAGAAGTAGGAGCTGTATTTGAGAGAAAAGAGGGAAACTGTCACTGTTATTTTCATTTTAATCCATTGGCAGGCTAGTAGAAGCTGTATAAAAATTCAGGAATCAAGAACTGCTGCAGAACAGGCTAAAAACTTCAACAGCTTGTAGGGGAGGATAACCACAGGCTCGGTGACCAGGCAAAGCACTCTGATCTGTGCTGTGGAGGCAACAGAAGTGTGGAAAACAAGGCCTGGGATGCATGACAAAGCACAGCAAAGAATCTCCTTATGGCCAGTGCTGGAACTAGCTACAGAAAAATGAAGAAGAAATGAAAGACAAGCCCTGCTGTTGCAGTTTGTCCATAAAGAGGATTCATGGAATCGTTATTAGCCTGTGTGTGGTACTAAAAGGCACAAGTATAGTCATATTCTTATTGACCAAATGTGATTTTCTTTTATGTTTCAGTAACATGTATCTGATTCTATAGAATATTTCTTTTTTTCGCCCATCCTCTATTCTATTGTTTGTGGATTTTTTCACCTTTTTTTAATTACATCCTAACTTTTGTCACACTATAACACTTAGTTCTTCTTTCCACCTTGATTTGTTTTAATTCCTAAAATGCCTCCAAGGTCACGAGGTCCATTTATTCAGTTGTTCATGGAACCACTGGATAGAGAAGCTGCACACTTTTTAGTTCCAACTGCTTGCAAGTTAACAGTTAAGAACTGCTATAAAGTGAACTCGGGACCTCCTGCTTCTATTATATCTGTCGTATCTCCTATTCTATCTATAGCATCAGCTGTGGGAAAGAAGTAATGTACTTTTACCTAGTAGGAAAAAAAGAACTGTTCCAGAATGAAGTAAAGAAATAGTTATTTATTTTATTTTATTTTGTTAGCCCCTAGTGGCCAGTTTTTCAGAATGGCCTGTCTGAATAATGGTAAAAAAAAAAAAAATAAAAAAATCAACATTCTCTTTCCTACTATTATTGTTCAGCTTTTAGCTACTATGACTTTGTTCATCTTCCTTATAAGGAAAACTATAATAGCTAATCTTAATACTGGATTTTACAATGTTTACTGAGCTGCTTTTTAAAAATTTTCTGAGCTTGTAAAAGTATAATTATCGAATCCTAATAATTATAACAGACGACATTTCTCTCCCTCTTCACAGTGTTTGATCTAAACTGAAAATTTCTGATCTTCTTGTCAAAGACAGAGCTGTTTTCTTGGGAAAATTTTGAACTTTGATGAAAGTTTTATGACACTTCCAACAAAACATGCTGCTCGTTAAAGTTTTATAGAGAGAGAGCTCTATCAGCATTGTTTTGGAATTGTAAATATCACATAATTGTCATCAATGAGCAGCTGATGAAATACCTGTTCCCAGACAGGAGTTTGGTCACAGACCCATAGATGCTTTTGCAGTCCCAGAGAGCCAAGACAAGGCTCTTTTCGTTCTGTCATAGTGATGGTCCCAAAAGTCAAACAATGATGAAACTGTTGATTTATTTATAACGTTTTGCAAGGCATTTGCAGAGGAAACAAATTTTGTAGTCTTTAAAAATCTTATTCATTCTTTCTCTTTGTCCCAAGAGGTACCAGGAGATTAGTGTCCCATTAGTTTCCTTCATCCAGTTTTTATGAGTTGAAACTTCCACATCTGTCTTTGGATAGTAATGGATGGCTCTGGTTCCTCAGTGATATGAACATTAGCTGCAGCACTGTTTTATCAGAGGACATCTAGCTCACACAACTGCAGCTGACACAAATGCTAATTCTCCTTAATATTTAAGCCTCAGGGAGTCCTTCTAAAACAAACAGACAATAAGACTGTAGATCTGCGTAAATATATTTTTTAAGATTTCAAGAAGCTTGTCACATGTTTGTTTCAAATCACTTGGCATTTATTGTAGTTTTTCTGATAATTCTGAGGAGAAAATACCCTGTTTAATGAAACATTGTTCCTTTTCAGAAGCACTTGGGTAATTTGACTCCCAGACAGCATGAGGTTTTATCTCGTCATTATGAAGACTACATGAAGATATAAAGATCTTACTTAGACAAATTGTTTTTTTAAAGAGACAGCCTAATTAAAATTGGAACATTATTATTTAATATTATCTAATTAGAACAGATGCCATTTTTCTTCCCTTCTAGCTGCATAAGAAAACCTTCTAGATCTGTGGGATGTGCACAGACAGAGGAAGCAGATCTTCTCTCTCAAGGGCTATGTACACTGTGCAAAGCCCAAACTGCAAGCCAGGTGAGTTAAATGGAAGCTAGAATATTTTACCTCAGATGGGATGCACACTTCAGATACTGACAAGTGATATTTTTCCTGAATCACATCCTGAAGGTGTGCTTTTTGTCTTTATTGACAATGTAGGGAACCTGGGGAGATGGTGTCTGAATTTGGCTGAGTTAACTGGCTAGAGTCAGGTGATGTGAATACCTCTTTCAGTCATAAAGGTAGAACATAGGTGTTCATCCAAATTGCAGTGCTGGCAGCACAGCAAAACAATGATAATCACAATATAATTAGAATCCATATCATGAGAAAGTTATATATACAAAAGCATTAGAGTGACAATAAACTAGAGAAAGACAGATTTAATAAAATGAGGGAGCTTATAAAAAGTGCCCCAAGGAAAAGTAAACTCCTTGGACATGGCATTTATTCTACTTAAGGAAACAGTAATAGTGTCTCCATATGTGTTGTGTAGCTGAACAAAATGAGAATAGGAAAAACTTACACAGCTAAATAATGAATTTCAAATGATTGAGCCAAGCAGAGATGCCTCAAAAATCTGACCCACTGTAGCTAATAAATAAGAAAATAAAATAAACAACAATAGTATTTATGAGGAACACAAGAAAGGTCAAAACATATTTCCAAAGTAACTGATGAAATGCATAAACAGAAACAAAACCTATCTTTAAATACAGATATTAAAATAGATAAAAATGTAAGAATTTATGAATAAGACACTATTTTGCTAATAAAGGTGACGTATGGTTGGAAGTTGTCAGGAAAAAGGTAAGGAAACAAAGCTGGAGATCAGGGAGGCCGGATGCTAGGCATAAAGTTACTCTGATTGAACTCAGTTATGAAATGTCTGAACATACAACAAAAGAGCCAGTGTCTTACCAATCCAGAGGACTGAAGAAATTCTGTTGTGTAAGTGCTTAGAAGATTTTTTTAACCTGCAAATAAATTTACAATTTTCCTGGATAAATTAATTATCTCTAAAACACAGTCATAGAAGGTCTGTAAAATCATGGTGGTAAAGGTCTAACTAGGATAGCGTTTTGGAAATGGAAACTGTACTTTAGTAATTGTTCTGTATTTCTTTGCATTTGTAGAGGATCTAGGAGAACTGAATGAATTTGAGAAGAAGTAACTGATGAAGTTGAGCAGGCATGGGTAAAAGGTTAGTAAAATCTCTGTACCAGAGGCACAGCATTCATAACAAATTTTGAAGCAAATTGATAATTCTGTATGAAATTTGTTGTTACAACAGGGTTACTGAGTGAGGTGCTGGAATTCAGAGTTATTCAATGGTGTCATGAGTAAAATGGAAAATGACAAGGCAAGAGCCTAAAAAACCGTGCAGGTAACCTCAGCCTGGCAGGGGCTGCAGACACACTCAGGGACTTGGACCTTTAAACGACTATGATAAACTGGGGAAATGCTTTGAAGCAAGCCAACCAAACAGAAGACACTGCCTATGAAAAAAAGAAATATACATACACACCATTGTACAGTAATAATTGACTTCAGAAAAAAACAGGGTGTGTGAGTGTTCAAGAAGACAATAGTTCACAAGGCGTGAGCAGCTGGCCAGTGAAGGTGTCTCTGCGAACCAAGCCCAGTGAAGGTAATTTAGAGGAGCTCTTTTAGCAGCTAGAGAGGGTAACACAAGGGAAAACAAAGTGTGAATGTAAAGCAATGCATATAAGATTGACAGATTACAGAACAACTTCTAGCCTTCCAAACGGACTCAGCTCAGTTAGCTTGCTAGCTGAACCTAAGAAAAAAATCCTTTGCTGAAAGCAGCTTCAGGAAAAACAAACAAACAAACAAGATATTAGAAAGCATAAAGGCAGAGTAGAAGACAATATTGAGGAAAACATTATAATGTATGTCTGTAAATGAGTGGTGAAGGTTTATTTGAGTTAAAGTGCTCATCTCTCTAAATATTGAAAATTATTTGACTCACTGAAACATTCTCTTTTATGAAAAGAATTTGAAGAAACTGATAGTACTATTTTAGAGAAGAAATAAACAGTGCAGTTGGCAGAAAGGTGGCTCAGAATTCATTTGCTTATTTAAGTACTTAAATACTGAATTAGAAATGAAATATCTATACCACAAATGTTTTTGCAGTAAATACTGTAAAGCTCATTTGAGAAACACAAATGTGTTTCCAATATGACAAATGATCCTAGGAGTTAATAGCTTTCTTATAATGGTCTGTAACTTAAATAAGGAAATTCTTCTCTGTTCTTTTTCTTAAATTTGGTGTACCAGAAGCATCCACTTACTAACAGAAATGCTGAGATCTATAAGAACTGAAAAATTCCTGCAGTTGCAATACCATAGCCCCTGATAGGACCATTTTATATTTGGTAAGATTGGGACCACAGAAATATGAGAGGCAGATTTTTTTTAGCCTTAGCTTATAGGACATAAAACTATTAATGAATGTCACACAGGAGTCTGCATGAATCATGTTTTATCTTCTGGATATGTGATCTAGGCATTCCTATTGGTAATTATTACAGATGCCTACTTCTAATGAAGCACAAGGTTAAAAAAAGGTAAGTGAATTAAAATCTAAGGATGCAGTGCAACATCAAGGACTATAATACCTAAATATTCATATTTTTTTAATTAGTTCTCTCTTGAATGAAGTCTCTCTCACTGTTATGACACACTACCACTGTAGTTGATGGGCTTGGCCTTGTCCAGCAGCAGATCTGTCTCAAAGCTGGCTGGCATTGGCTTTGTCAGACACAGGAAAAGCTTTTGGCAGCTTCTCACAGAATCTGCACCCCCTCCAGCCTCCCCCCCAGGTACAAAAACCTTGCCACATAAACCCAATACAGCATATGCACACACTCACATAATATTTTACCATACAAATTCAATTATTTGACACTTGGACAAAAATAAGAAAAAATATCCTGAGTTGTACTGCTAAATGTAAATGTTTTATGTCCATGTCCTCTCTTTCGTTACCTTTTTCTCTAAGGCATACTAGAAATAATCTTCTAATCTTTCCATGCCCACAAGTCCCATCCATGGGAGTTAGGGATGCTTAGCTAATTCAGGTACAGTCTTGCTTCAAGCAGTGTTGTGCCTCAGGCTTAGGAAGGCTTTTCCCCTCAGTCTGAAGGGCTTATTGGAAAAAGAAATGAGGAGCTACTTAACTCCTCCAGCTCGCTGTTGTAATTAAAAAAATGTAATGTTTCAAAAAGTCAAGTTGACGTGCTATGAACTATGTTTGCTTGCCAAATGAAGTGAAAATAAACACTATCTGCTTTGTTTCAAAGGACTGACACAACCTTTGCATTCACTCTCTGTGACCTTTTCCAAACTCCCAGTGATCTTGGGTAAACTACTCCCTTATGTTGTATTATTCTGTATCTGCAGCTTTGGTCTTGTTTGACTAAAACATGAGGATGCAAAAGTACTACTCTAAAGACTCTACTCCTCTAGAAATATAACACAATGGGTGTGTCCCAAATGAGAAAAAATGTTAGCTTCATAAAAATGCAAAAATAGAAGTAAAGGAGGATGAAGTACCATGTTACAGCCTTTTAGCCTAGAACATGAAGTTTATAGACATCTGCTATGTAGCTTATGGATGAGCTGCCAATATATGTAGAAAGTAGTCATGGGTGAAGTCATGAGTTGGCTCAGTGGAACTTGGGCATTGATACTGCAATGTCTCCACAGCATTCTTTGTAGAAAATCCACATACGAGAGAGATGTGAGATGAAATGGTGATATAAACTGAAATTTGATACTCAAAAAACTGCTCCACTCTACATTTAGGCATCAAAATATTGATTTTATTTTCAGAAATGTTGAGCATCTGCTTGACTAAATAAAAATAATATTGTGAAATACCACTGAAATCAAAACAGCAAGTTAAGCTTGTAAGTTTAGACACATGTAAATAAATTCAGATATAAAAAAATAACTCAGTTCTCTGGAGTGTAAAATAAGAAACAAAGTAGGGATAGAGATTCAACCTCTGTTTAAGAGCATAGCATCCAGTATAGCCAGTGTATTTTCCTACCTATTTCTAATGCTTAATGTCTAGTAAGATACCCATTTGTAGTCCATATGACCCTCCTTGTATACCACACACTTTTATATGTGAAGTGCATATGTAAAACACTTTACATTCTGCTTCAACATAGAAACAAGGTTTATTATCTTTTCAGTATGATAAAATAGAAGCTAGCACTTGGACAATTTCTAATGCAATTCAAAGTGAAGAAAGCTTGTGGGTATTGGGACTAAGTTCTACAGAAATCAGATTGCACTTTCACTGTTGAAAATTACTTCAAGTGAATTTCTGAAGGAAACTTAACTTAGGATGTGATTTGAAACAGTTAAGTCTTTTAATTCTTGTAAGGTTTACAGTGGCTAAATCACTTCATCCCCTCACCCCCACCCCCTTCTTTTTTCCCCCAGCAATATGATTTGTGTAAATCACTTCATACCACAAGGGCACACAGATTTGTGATCACTCACTTCTATGCTGAGTCTAGAACTGCCAGATTCCTTCCATGCTACAAATGCAAAGTCCATGCTGAGGGATATATCATGAAGAATGTGACTAAAGTAGACATGTTTTTTCTTTGTACCTTTTGAAATCAATTTATCTTTTAATATCAGGACTTCTTGACACTGCTGTCTGCTGTGCACCTAATATGCTGAAAAGATATTTGATGATGGCCAGTTTAAAACTAGCTGGCATAGACAAATTCATTAGAATTGCGATTGTAATTAATAGTAATTTCAAATAATTTAACTTGAATGTGCACGTGTATATAGTATAGAACCTTGATTTTGGAAGTAGATCAGACTGGTTGGTATATTATACCCATCCATTTGCAGTGAAATGACCAAAACTCGGGCTGTGCCGGAGCATGCATAGCTCCCACTTGAAACACATGCCTAATTTGCCTTACAGCTGGAGCCAGAAAATAAGAGTTAGGCATGATACATGTCCCAAGCCTGTCAGATTATAAAGTCAGAGTATGATCAGAAGATGGAACCAGCCTCTCAGAGGTTGTAATGAATTCTCTAGTAATAGTTTTTGTCTCTATGGACCCTCTATACCTGCTTATTTAAGTTACTTCTGGGGATTGCTACTAATGTCAGTGGACATCTGAGCCTTTTTTAAAAGATAATATCATTTCATAAAAAACAGTGCCTCTTGCTGAGGAAATCATGGGCCAGTGATTGCTTGAAATTAATGCCACAACAGTGTTATCTGGTTATGCACAGGGCTGCTTTTTTCTGGTAATTCCAACCTTTCTGCTGTTGGGAAGGAGACCACTGAGTTAGAAGTTTATTCAGAGGGACCCAGGAGATTAGTTTTTAATGTCATGATCTTACAGCAAAAGGGTTCTGATCAGACCATGGTTTTCAAGACTAAAAATTTAGACATGCACTTCTCCACTTCTGGTGTTCTGAATGTTCCTATGGAATTGGTCACTAAGGTCTTTCAGGAGTCATGGTCAAAAAAATATCTATGCAATTATCTCTGAGAATGTTACCTGAAAAAAAATTGGATGGTTAAAGGGAGGATACAACTTTTTTTCTTCATTATAATGGTACTTTATAGTACTTAGTGGTGCCAATAGTACTTAATGGTACTATAACAAAAACCTACATGTTTCAGAAAACAGAATGGTTTGCAATTTCCAAGGATCTGTTATTCTGCTTATCATCCCCCTAACCTTAAATTTCAAGGGATCATCAGTCTGAACTGCATTATTTATGTTAATCCTCCTTCTTGATTTTAAAATTGTGATAATCTAATGAGGGAACGAGAGTACACCAGAAACTGTATATGCATTTTCATAACTAACCAAGACAGTTCTCATTTTAAAATCTGACCATTAAATATTCCAGCAGTTTTTTCCCTGATCATTAAAAAAGATTCTCGAGAGAGTTCAAATAAAATACTGTTCTATAAATTACAGTCCACTGTCAGAAGAAAAAGAGTAGTTGATGTGTTGTGTAATAATATGTTCCAGACTTTGCTAAAATTAGCCTGTGGTTCTTTGAGTGCTTTCTGGTATGTTGTGTATGTACATATATGGCCTTTATGCCTCAGAGATGAGGATGATTAGCAGAATACAATACTGGCTGCTCTTGAACAAGTAGTAAATGTCTTTACTCTCA